TTTTTTTGTATGTATTGTTTCGTTTTTTCTAGGGCGCTTTGATACTAGACTCGTGTTCAAATCCGGCATTTGCACTTAACCAAAGTCTTGATTTTGTCAGAGACTTAATAGGCACCAATGACGCATCTGAATTCCAATGTAGAGATGGAAGTCGTCCGAAATCCCGTCGACCACTTGCTAAGCGAAAAGTTGCTGCTGTAGTTGGTGGTAGTTATAGCTCAGTTACTGTACAGGTAACTGAAAATCTGGAAAAAAATTTTGAAAAGAAAAAAGAGTTTATAACTGTTTTGTTCCTTTTTTCTACTCTCAGAAGATTTTCTATTTTTAAACTTTTTTATAGTGCGATAATTTCAGATTGCTAATTTGCTCAGATTATTTAAAATTGCTCAAGTGAGTCCAGCAAGTACAAATGCAGATTTAAGCGATAAAAATCGTTTTGAATATTTTGCTAGGTATATCATTTGTTGGCAATATTTATTTTCGATTATATCTCTCGATCTTCTAAACTTTTACAGTACACCACCAATTTGCAGGACGGTTCCAAGCGATAATTATCAAGCCCGAGCGATGATTGATATAGCATTACATTTTAATTGGACATATCTATCTCTTGTATTTTCTGCTGATGAATACGGTGAACTGGGAGCTGATGCATTTAAAAAAGAAGCTCGAAAAGTGAACATTTGCATTGCCATTGAAGAACGAATATCAACAAAACGTGCCGCAATGATTGAATCCATTGACAACTTGGTGAAAAAGTTGGTGTCTTAAAGCTTTCTAATAAAATATACTTTTGAAAAACAAGTTTTAATTAAATTTGCTTTTGTTCACACTAATATTAAGTCAAAAATTGCATAAACGAATAAAAAATTTTACAGTTGATTTTTATACTATCGCTTGACAATAGTATTTAGGTTACAACCCGAAAAAAAAGAAGGAGCTCGAGTAGTTGTACTGTTTGTTGGCACTGAATATATTCCCGAATTATTGTTGCAAACTGCTAAAAGAATGAATTTGATTGGAAAGAATAGAAAGAAGAAAAAAATCATTTGGTATAAAATTTCTTTTTTTTGTTGAGTCGGTGTCGATGGCACTTATTAAATTGTTATACTGTCAAAATTATTGACTGTTCTTTAAAAATATAGCCTTTCTTTGCTCTAGCATTTATACTTCTGTGCACCGTTGTAATTGATTTTACTTGTTTTCAACACGGTAGAGTTTAGGTTAGCCAGTGAAGCTTGGGACCGTCATAATGAAGCATATACACTTGGTAACCGTCGGGAAGCAGCTGAAGGAGCCATAGTTTTGATGTTGGAATCAAAACGTGTCCCTTCATTTGAAAATGTAATATAATTATACAGAAAATTTCAATGGCAACTTTTATATACTTAGCTTGACTTCACTCTCTCTTTTTTCCCACTTTAACAATTTTGCCTTTTATAAATAAAAGTTATAAATTTGTCTATTTATTTTTGTGTTCTTCTTTTCTTTTGTCTAAAACTTATGAGAGATGAAAAACAGTGTTTGTATTAAACTTCAATTACAAACGCAAGTACCTGTTTTTTTTTTTATTTTGACAATTATTACTTGTAGTACTTTTTGTCGCTGAACCCTGGTAAAAAAGAATTTGAGCGGAATGCTTGGCTAAAAGAATTATGGCGACAAAAATTTGATTGCGAATTTGGTCTTCCAGAAGAAAGCACAGGAAATAAGTAGGTTTTACTGAGATTTTGTGTTCTGTGTGCAGGATAATAGATGAAAAATTCTTCTTTCTATATATTTTTATTTCATAATTGTAAAAAAAAAAAAACAGTAACAAAATTTACAGATGCGAAAACCATAAACAAACCAAAGATAACTTCAGTCCTGATGACAAGGTTCAGTTTGTCATAGATGCAGTATTTGCGATTGCATATGGTCTGCAAGTTAGTAATCGTTATTTGTGCTTATGGTATTTAGATATCGTTTTTAAAACAACAGATTAAGAGAAAAAACTGCTGTCTTTATGAATCAACCAAATTCAGTTTCAATATACCCCTTGCTAAAAAAACTGCTGAACAACGGTTAACTGTTCAAAAAGTCTTATTGTGCACGCAGAAACTAAGTGACATCTAGTAATCCTCAACTTTTTTCTTTTCTGTTGTGCTTTCAAGTCCACATCTTATTTTTTTCTCAGTTTAGGCGCTGAAAAAAGCCGAATGTCCTAATGATACAGTAGAAACATCGTGGATAACACGAAATGCAAAAAAGCCACATCTTTGCTACGCAATGGACAACATCGATGGAGCAGATTTTTATCAGAACTATCTTTTAAAAGTCAATTTTACCAGTAATGACTTCCTTATTTGTTGTAAAGTTTATGTTCGTCGTTTTAAAATTTCATTTGTTGACCAATTTTTTAAATTGAAGACATACTTATTCCTATCTTTAACTCATAAACAGCATGAATATAATGAGATTTTGTGCAGCTTTTCTTTAAAAAAAATAGACAAATTGTAATTTACGCCGTAACAAACTGCTCCTCTTTTTTTCTTTTTTTCAGATATTGTCCAGAAAAAATTTCGCTTTAGTCTTCAAGGAGATGGTCCAGCTCACTACACTATCTTGAACTATCAACCGAGCAGAAATCAGAGACGGTTTGTACACAGTTTTAAGCATAACTTTTCCTGTTTATCAACAAAAGATTTAGCTTAGGCGAAACAAATTTGAAGCTTTTGAATTAGCTAAATTTAAGCTTTCTTTTTTTTTAATGAAGATGGCTGTTTGTAGCGCTTTTAAATAGTGAAAAAAATTCAGATGGTTGTTGCTCTGTCAGAGTCAACCAGTAGTGCTGATAATTTTCTAAATATGCCTAACATTACAACAACTTTAGCCCTGAACTTATAACAAACTACATAACTGTTCTTAAGAAATAGAATTTCACTTTTTTGGTGAGTATAATTTAGTTGCTTTTAAGTTACGGTTCCAGCTTCACAATTGGCGGAAGCAGTTTTTTGCTCACTCGCATCGTCCACTCACTCACTTGTGATTCGGTGTAGGATTAAGCCTTACCATAACTTTTTTGTGATATTTTTAATGATATTTACAATTTTTGTTACCTAAGTCTAAATTTTCCCGGCTACTTAGACAATCAGTTTAAGAACACTGGTTCTTTATAACTGTGATAACTTTCCTTTGTATGTTCAAATTGACAAGCCAATGTTGCAACCGAATAACATTCCATGTCATTCCACGTTTTCGTATGACTTAAAAGAACTTAATTTACAGCTTAAAGCTATAGACTGAGCACAACTGTTCATCAAATTTTTTGAACTGTAAAAATTTTTTATTGTAAACTTTAAGGTGTTCAAGCAGACCAAGAATATATTAATTTTTTCCATTTAGAGCTTATGCTTGAACAAAAAAGAGAAAAAATTCAGGAAAATCATCAAAGACTATGATAATCATTTTTAAAGACGATATTGTAAAGCTTACAAATTTTTTTGAAAAATTTATAATCATTTTGTAAAGTTCTTGAAGTTCTTGACCGTAAACTGCTGTATTTTTGATACAGTTCACAAGACAAAGTTAGTTGACAAGACTGCCAAAAGTCTGGTTTTTATCAGCGTATGGATAAACTTACTTTATACCTTATTAAAAAGCAATTTGTTTAATTATTTCTCCAGAGTTCCAAGGGTTGTATAATGTTTTTTTTTTTTTTTGCAACTACGATTATTTAATAATAGCTAGGTAAATTTCTGTTGATTAATATTCAGTGCTCCTCTCAACGTCATTATTTGGAAACAATTTAAGAATATTGTACAGAAATATACATCTCTGTGCACTATCAGTGATTTCAACAGGAAGACTCAATATAAACAATTTTTACTGTTCAGGACAACTAGCGAAGGAGGTCAGCGAGGCGATTATGTTGAAATTGGACGATGGTCCGAAGAAAAGGTTTTTCTTTCAACATATTTTTGCCTTAGATAAATGTTCTTTTTTTTTTGAAGGTTAAGTTCGGTTTATAAAACGATGTCGTAGGGAGTGAAAAACTGTAAAAAACTTATTAACTATAGTTAATCTTGACTTGAGCAACTTCTATTTTTTAAAATGTGGGCTTTTAGCAGACTGTAAAACTTTAATTCGCAAACACTTGATAAAAACGTGTTTTCGTGTCTCTAATAAGAATTATATATAACTACACCGATATGTGCAAAAATGGGTTATAAAAGTAGGAGTCAAGTAAACATTAAAACTTCTTCAACTGTTCTAAGAACCTCACAACAGCTGTTCTCCCTCTAAAATTTGGTACTGATTTGTTTGGAGAGGCAATCTCAAAATTTACTGAACATCAAAAAAATTGTTCTCTATCTACGGAGCAGTTGCACAAAGAAATTCATTTGGCCATCTGATTACCGTTTTAACTTATGGACATGGAACTTGTGGCTCAGTATTATTATAAATATATGCAAAAGTGGGTGACTTTCGCCGTACCTTCCTGCTAAAAATAAATCAGACTAGTGTTCAACGGCCGCGACCTCAGCAAAAATAGCTTAAAATTTTTAACGATAAATTAGTCCGCTTAATTTTTTTTCACAAAACACCATTTTTCGCAAGTTCTGAAAATTCTTCTGATAATATGCTACCCATTAATCCACGTAAATTACAATCGGATGGCCATTGAGATGATTATGAAACAAATATCGGTCGATGTCCGTTTCTCCATTTTCCCCCTAGAAAACTTTTAAAGTGATTGTGGCTATAATATTTTAAAATTGACGCAAAAAAAAAAAAATGAAGCAGAGCTGCAAAAACTTTTTGCAGGTACTGTATCGGTACAGTTTAGTACTTAAAAGAAAAAAAGCGTAGCTTTGTCTTCATCTTTTTTTCTTTTTAACACTCAGCCAAAATAAAAATTTCTAAAGCAATGTGTACAGGTGACAGAGAAATAAATTTTTCAGCTGGAAATGTATGATTTCAAAACAATCTGGAAAGACTATGCAATGCCAAGATCGTTTTGCAGTGAAAATTGCAAACTTGGTGAAAGGAAACAACTTATAAAAGCCGTAATATGTTTCGCCTTCATTTATTTAATGATTATTTTATTCCTCTAGAAAAAACCCGAAATAACTTTTGTTTTTCTTCTATCTGAAAAAGTAGCCTTGACTAGAGCAAATAGCAGCAAATCGATAAAATAGATGTGTGCACCACGCAAAAAACTTCACGAATGGACAAAGAAACAGACTCTTTTAAACGCGATTTCTTGTTTAGACCGTCTCTGGTGACACTTTTAGGATGAAACTTGCTGCTGGGCCTGTAGTAAATGTGAAGACTATGAATATCTAATCAACGAAACTACTTGTATGGACTGTGGCGAAGGTCGACTACCAACAGCAAACCGCACAAGTTGTTATAATATCGCTGATGTCGACTTAAAGCATATGAGATGGACAACTTGGTATGTCGATGAACACTTACACATGAACAACTCCACCACTAAGATGATATTCAGATGTACATTTCGACTTTAGATGACAAAGTTTTTTTCTCTGTTACTATATCTGTACCTTCAACAAATTCAGGCACTCAATCGTTCCCGCTGTAATTGCTGGCATTGGTATCTTTTTAACCTTGGGAGTAGTAGTTATATACATCAGGTACGATACAGAAAACTTAAGACCAAAAACAAACTGTTACACAAATATAAGAAATAATTCTACGTCTAAATGGAACCTCTTATTCCAAAAAAAAATTATTTCAAAAAAAAGGAAAAAAGTAATTCATATTTTTAGTTCTTTTAGTATATGTACGTCCCACCCGTTTACCATAAGAATCTAAAAAACCTTTTGCTCAATAAAACGTGTAATTTTAGATATAACGAAACTCCTGTAATAAAAGCCTCTGGACGAGAACTTAGTTACATATTACTTTTCTCCATGATCATGTGTTACTCAATGACTTTTGTATTGGTTTCTAAACCCACTCCTTTAATATGTGCCATCAAAAGAACAGGTATAACTCAGTATATGCTTCAAACAGATAACTTTTAGACTTTGACAACCACCGGCTCATTTGTCAGTCAGTTAAGTGCAACTGTTGAAACTTACCTCAGCGATCTTTAGTTTTTGAAGTAGAGTATACAATTACAGTTCTGTCATCATTTAGCAAAGCTGTTAGCCAACTCTAGTTCGAGAAATTTGTGCTAGAAAAATTTGCTTTTTTTAGGTATTGGATTCGCCTTCTCATGTTTGTACGCTTCATTACTTGTAAAAACAAATCGTATTGCTCGGATATTCTCACAAGCGAAACGCACCGTACAAAGACCGCGTTGCATTTCACCGATATCGCAAGTGCTTCTTACTGTGCTGTTAGCGGGTGTTCAACTTATTGGATCTCTCATTTGGCTTTCTGCGGTTCCACCTGGTAATAAGCCTTTATTTAGCCAAAATTGATTTTCTGTCTCAAAGGAGTGATATATATTTACGCAAAGGGAATTCTGTAGAAAATCTATAACTGCTCAAAGAAGCAAAATTATTACAAAATCAAGGATTTAATGAGTAGAAACGATGTTAATGAACCTAATCGATTTTTCAGGAACTCGACCAGATTATCCAACCAGATATGAAGTGGTGCTAACATGCAATGTCCCAGAGCACCACTTCCTATATTCATTAGCTTATGATGCTGCGTTAATCGTCCTATGTACTATATATGCAATTAAAACAAGAAAAGTACCAGAAAATTTTAATGAAACCAAATTCATTGGTTTCAGTATGTACACGACTTGTGTCATCTGGTTCTCATGGGGGTTCTTCTTTTTTGGAACAGGAAAAAGTGACTTCCAGGTCGGTAAAATAATGGCTTAAAGATTTTAAGAAAATTTTTGCAATTTACTGCAAGACTTAAAGGTTGCGTGAATATCAGAAACGAATAGGCATAGTGTTAAGGATAAAAAATAGAAACAGCAACTGCTGTATGATGATAGAAGATTTCAGATCCAAACTACCACATTATGTATGTCGATCTCTATGTCAGCCAACGTGGCATTGGCATGTATATTCTCACCAAAAGTATGGATCATACTTTTTGAACAACATAAAAATGTTAGAAAACAGGACGGGGAATATATGCTTTCACGGAGGTAATCCTCACTTACTTACGTAACCGCTTTGCCGAGCAAAGGCTCGCAATACCAAAATCAATATTCTTTTTGACCCATCCACTAAACCTGCTACTAAACTCTTCCCTTGCTCATTTAAAATAACAAAAATCGGTTACTGAATGCAGCAAAATGTCTAAAAAAGTTTTTAGAATCACTGCAAAAAAGACGATATTTTAGCTGTAGGTCATTGACGAGCACCCATAACGAGTGCAGTACCTCACAATACACTTCTGTCGAACAAAGAAGAGAACCATCACCAACAGCCCGTACGCCACTACTCGGAGACCAAAAGAAAGATTCCAGCTTTTCTCAATACAGTTCCTTGTCTCCTGATCACCGACGGCGAAACGTGAAAAGCAACTCCACAAGCGATTCTCCTCTAGAAATAATAACATTTTCTTCACAAGATACATTTCTGTAGCCTTATTAGGTTGAATACAACAAATTCATTTAGGCAAACCTGGGTGCTGGTGAAAGTCAGATTATAAAAAACCTCAAATTTGATTCAGTTTTGAGACCTAATATTCACAATGTTACCTCCTTCAGCTCCCAAGTAGCCTTTCTTAACTATTACGGGTCTTTGATGCCAGCCATTTCCTATTGTCAAGTGGGTATTTTGTGTAACTCTTGTCCATTTGACCTATCTCCTTCTATCAAACGCCTAATTAAAAAATCGGTGACAAATTTAACTTGTTGCTGAGAATAAAGGTAGCCAACCTTGAAACCAGGAGCAAAAACTTAGCAACGAAACACAAAAAGCCCACGAACTTGCATGGAATTAATGGTTAGTAAGAACGAATTGTCGCCTCTGCTTCTCTTCTGACTGTACTTCATCTCTCAGGTATGCAGACCCAACATCTTTCAAACCATTGAACCGCTATGTAAACGAGTGCGGTAGCATAAAAGTACATCCTGCTCATGAAGAAAACATTCCCAAACGTAGCGTACCCTATATAATACATTCACATAATGGAGAAAAAAAGGGACTCCATTCTCCAGAAATTGAGCAACCCCGCGAGAACTAAATAGCAGTAAGAGAGAAAACCATATAACTAACAACAAACACTCACCGGTGAATCAAGAATTCCCAAGCAACCAGCAGACAACGCTTTGCTATCAAAATTTTTCTCCCAATGTCTTGTAAACGCCTTTCTGGTCAACAGTTCATATCTCAAACTTGCAGATACGGCAACCGTCCTCTTAACAACTAATGACGTCATAAAATTAAAAACTTTTTTTATAAACAACTTTGCACAAATAACAGACTGCATAAAACGCGTTCAACGCGATAACAGTTATAAAACTAAATACACACACTACATATCGGAAAAAATGCAGGGCACTGTATACAACAGGAACCTACACTCACGGGGTTAGAACTCCAACGCTAACAAAACGCAAAAAAATAACAAAGCCGACAAAATAAATTCAAGTCTATCGGTCCCAATTATCAACTAAACGTCGACGACGACTTAACTAACAACAAGTTGCTAAACATTGCCACTTCTTAACGATAAGAAATCTAGCACCGGTAATACTTGAGAAGGTATAAAAAAACCTCTGTTCTCATCTGACGCATTTCCGCATCCCGCAAAAAAGAATTTTCAAGCCTCTTACAATTTTCAGATTATTAATATATTAACACATTTTCAAAATGTAATCTCAAAAACGTAAACAGGGAAATACAACTCCCCTTCAACAAAAAGCGCTCTCGTCCACTAAAGTGGCATCTGCGAGAAAGCAATGAGAACACAACTGTGAGATCAGCGTTAGAATTAAATAATAAAGGAGAAATAAAGACAGCCAAATCACTTGATGACTCGAATGAATCGTGGTAAACACAACAAACGCACGCGCATTAAAAAAGACAATGAACTTTTTAAATCAGACCACTTCCTCTTCTAAGACTGCCAAAGCAAAAAAACCATCATCACACTTAGCACTTTTTAAGTACACCGTGAGTACACTACTAAATTTTTTAAAATTTCCTATGCAACATAATTTTAAAGGCAGAGGTGAAAAAGCTTAACTGTCATGCGTCTGGAAATAGCAGCATATTTCGCTTAAATAATGAAACTCCTATATTTCTAGATAAAAGAATACCGCAATTTGACATCAATCTGAAAGAGATGAAACATCTTAATAACAACAACGTAAACAACATAAATGAAATCACAGCACCAAAGAAAGAATTATGAAGTATAATTCTTAAAACAAAACAACTTTATATGCCGTCAAAAATAAGTTAAGGAGACGGTGGAAGAGATACTGAGACAGGTGTTTCAGCCAACTCTCTCAAGTCATCATCATTTGTAGAGTGCTCACTAGCACCATCACTCCCTTCGCTTTCAGTCCGTGTAGAAGGTAAAATGTCCGCTAACAAGTCATCCGCATGATCGTTAAAAACTTCGAAAGCTGTGCTCGCCAACATCTCATTTGTATGTAGAGTTTGCAACAGGGAAGCAAACTGCTCACGAATGTTCCGCATACGATTTCGTAAATGAAGACGGTCGCTTCTTGTTAACGTTGGCACTGTCGAATTCCCAAGCGCTGTCCCGTTAAAAATCCCACGTTCGGAGACACACTTCCCCCAAGACTTGGAAGAAATACCATTTGCAGCAACAGGTAAATCTTCGGTACTTTTACTCATGGTGTAGGAGTCAGCAAGACCTTTCGGAAAACTGTTGATATTGAAAACTCTTCCGTCCAGCGAAGATGTTTGACCACTTATAACAGGACCACTATCCTCACCTTCATCCAGCAAGTATTTGCAAACATCCCTTCTCGTCACTTCTTCAGAAAGGTTTTTTGAGTACATCTTTGAAAACGCAACGTTCTTTGTAAATCCATTGGGAATTTCGTTCCCACGTGTGTCAAGCCTAAAGAGAACTGCGCTAGATGAAAAGTACCATCAAATACGCACTTCCTTACTTCAAAAAGCTCTCACTGCATTCTGAACAGAGCTGAGTTCTTATTAGCAATAAGCTAAACAAATCCGATAAAATCCAAACTATATTAAATACCTTAGCCTGGACAAGACAGACCCCGTTCGTTTCTCATACAAGTCCTTTAGCACTGATGTCAAATAGTCAGGTTCCGAGCCCTCAAGTTCAGCCTCAAAATTAAACTCTCCAGAATACCTCTTGAATGTTGGACGTTCTTTTTCAATCCGTTGATTCACGAAAAATGACCTCTCTTCTTCCACCCAAGAATCTCCTTCTCCTTTCCGCTTAACCTGAAGGACTTCATAGTCAATTGACAAGCTTGATTGAAAATCATTGAGTAACCTTAACATCATACAAAAAATACACACCAAAACTCAAGTAACCACCTCCCTTGCTGAATTTTACCAACTCCTCTTAAAATGGATGCATAAGCCCGATTAGGTTTTGTTGATTATTATTTTCCATCGTTCAAAATTTGTTTTCTGAATCGGGCGATAACAAATATACTTCCTTCCTACAGAAATAATCACAAGCATTTCTGCAACCCAACTAAATTTTTAGAAGGCAATTGCGTAAATGTTCATTGAAATTACAAAATGAAGGTAAGCGGAAGAGATCACAAGAAAACAAATAAAAACCGAAACCTCCGCATTCTGTCTATACTTACAAAAAGAGGACTTGAAACAATTTAAAACCACCCAAAAATCATTGTACAACACTACTTTTGCCGGGTTCCTTGCTAAGCAATTAAATACTTTTGCAAAACTTACCACTTTATAATCAAGTTTTACGAACTTTAGAGGCATAAGCCAGATCTGAGAGTGCTACTGAAAGTAAAAAATTTATTTTCAGTAACCTAAACTCTCAATTCTGCTATATAGGGTAGCTGAGAGAACATGAAAAAAATATCTACAGTAAAAAGACAATCAAAAAAGGACCAAAAAACAGTTAGGCATTGAAAAAATGTATGAACAAGATTTAAAATGCCCCCCTTTTTGAACCTTCAACAATTGCAGCCACCTATTGCAATACCCCCCAGATCGACCGCTCTCAACTTCCACGTAATCCACTCCATATTAACTGAGTGTTTTGAAGCTACTATGTGAAATGACCGATGTTAATTATACATTTGAAAAATACCTCAAAAAGGTCATTCACAAGGGCAACAGATGGACGAAAATTTGTTGAGGAAGAAGCAATATAGGGAGTCGCTTTTTTCAACGTAGTATGAGCTCTAGGAATCTGCACAGCAAATGTTTCGATCAGATTCAAACGTTTTTTTTCACGCGCCTCTTTGCTGTCGTCCGCATTGCATAGCTGGAATATAGAATAAATCAATCACTCTAGTGCACAAAAACTGAACCTAAAATAGGAAAACAGTAAAAGGTGTTCGAAGCAAAAACAAGAAAAAGTTCTTAAAAAGCACAAAATAAGCTCTTTTAAATCAGTAATCTAACCAATTCAAAGTCCTTGTTGAGTTGCTCACAGCTACGTGTGTCCAAAACTTTCAAAAATCCTAGGAATATATATAACAGTTCAACAACATCCTCGCTTTCATTGATCTCAGCACGCCGCAAAGAATCAAATGTCGTGATAATTCTTCTCAGCGCTAGCCTAAAACCATTGCAAGTAGTGAGACACATCAGACGATCAAAAAACTGATCATAAATAATAAATGAACAAGGACTGATCCAAAAGAAGCTTAAAAAAACCAAAGATTCACCAAAGTACAAAATTCCGTTTCATGCACTTTCCGGCAGAAAAATATTAAAAGCACGAGTGAAAGTAGGAAAAACAAAAGAGCAAAGCCGAAGAAATTAACTGACTTTGACAAACTCTGATCCATTTCGTTCTTTTCATCATCCTTTCCCAACAGTCTTAAGGCACTTTCAACTTCTTCTAACTCTTTTCCAATGTACTCATCCCAACCTTGGTCAGATAAAAAATATTTCGAATTTCTTTCAGCAAATTTTTCTTCGCTCCTTACTTTAACAGACTAAAAAAAGCATAGTTTATGCAAATGAAGAAAATAACTGCTTAAATTCTGGGCCATAAGTTTTAAAAAACATGTATACGAACATCCTCTACAAGGCCATTTGCTGTTGCTTTTGGCAAATCCGTCCTCTGTACCAAAAAGCTATCTGCTGCACCATGAATATCGCCAGAGGCTGCTAAAAAAAAAAAACACCTGACTGAAATAAAAAACAGAGAGCGACTGCAAGTACAATTACCGGAAATATTTCTGAAAGCAGAATATACCTAAAGCTGCAACTTCACCAATTAGTTCGTTTAAAAGATCAGCAATCGCAGTGCTTTCATACTCCTTGTTTCTCGTTTCACATGGGGAAGGCTGTTTTGAACATGAAGCATTCAAAGAAGATTCCCGATGAATAAAAGAAGGCCCAATTTCCCTATTTGTATTTGAGCTCGATAAAGAAATACAATTATTTCTGAATACCCCGAGTTCCTCCCTGCAACCCTCTGAGGTCGAATTCGTTGCAAAGGAGCCAGTGCACTTTCGCGTTTCAAGAACATTTCCTAATTCATCAAAAAATTCCGAAGTTGAAGCCTCCAAAGCTTCAGAATATACATCGGAAAACTTCTTGAACAGAACACACTCAGTTGTAAGTGCTTGACTCCCAGAAGTCTTCGCTTTCCCGAGCAGCATCGCCTTTATTTCCTTACGTTCTTTCAACTTACGCTCCATATTATATTTTTCTTGTTCCTTGAATTTCTTTTTTGCAGCTTTCAGACAAAGTACTTTTTGTTCTGCTAGCTTGACCTGCAAAGAAAGAAATGATTGAAGCTTAAGACAAAAATACGGCCAAAAAAAAAGATTCTATGCTAAGAAAACTTAAAAATACGTACGGTTTCGACTTTGTCAAAGTGGTTGAACCGAACATTTCTCATCCCATTAAAAGTGTTTAGAGCTAAATGGGGACGAGTTTGAGAAGAGTTACTAGCACCACTAACAATAGGACAAGCATTTTTTACGAAGTCTCCTTCTTTTCTTTTGCACATCATACTTGTTGTGATCGTCGGAGAAGTGTAACCAATTTCAATCTAAAACCCAGCTTTTAAAGAAATTAATAAATCTGCGTTCATTAAGTCCAACATTACATGCTCACCTAATACAAAAAATAAACGAAAGGCAACAAACGCAAAATATTTCAAGGTAATGAGCGGATGAAGCTTCAAAATGTGTACCGGACTAAGGTCAGATGAATTCTCTGAACCATCTAAAAACAACGGTTCTTTCCTAGCCTCGACCGTTAAAACTTCACTTTGCCTTGATTTTGACCCATCTCCCTTACTTCCGCACACTGGCTCTAAACCATTATCCAACTTTGGTGCTACAGAACGGTCTCCAGATGACTGTGAAACGGTAATATTATTACACCGTCCCTCTACCGAGCTTATCTCTTGATTTCCATTACTCTGTAGAGTCCTAGAAAAACTTCACAGGTGCGTAAACGCACACAGTCCAAAAAGGAGCAAAATGGGAAAGAAAAATTAAGCTTCAAAAACCTCTTAGTTCTAAAAAAGCAATAAATTCCTACTGGAAAAAGTTCCGGAAATTGTTGGTTGCATTTTCCGCGTCATGAATACGCAATGAGTCAGTAGCAGATGCCTTCAAAACATTAAGATCTATCACCGTGTTCCCTGCTGGATTAATATTTTCTGACAAAGTCGTCTCAGCGCTTACAAAAGTCTAAAAAGTACCTTAAAATGACTCCAAAAATACCAATATCATATTAGTCCAAAAAGCACTCGCACACTTGTGCCAAAAAAATATTTAAAATAAGTATAGGTAAATAATATTATAAAAACTGCATATTTTTTACAGCAATAACGGAATCACTACGAAATAAGGCTGTGCCAAATGAAATGAATTCCCAAAAACAGTATAATGCAGAATTATTTAGCTAGGTGTTAAAATGAAGGACGAAAAAGCAGAAACTACCTTAGCATTCACTTGATGCTTTTTCGTCTTCTTAGGTTTAGAACCTTCAGTGGTCAATGTGTCCACATCAACGAAGGACGTTGAGGCAACTACTGGAGACTCAACACGTGAATCTGTTCGTGGCCGACCACGACGTCGTGTACTTTTCTCATTAGTTTTAGCACCCAGTGATCTGAAAAGAAAAGTTACGTAAACAAAATGACTAACACTTTTAAATAAAGAAACTCACTGGTAAGGCAACTGAATGTAAATAATAGATGAAAAACAAGCCAAAAAAATTTTTACGAAGAAGCTGGCTGTCCTGGTGGTGCCAATTTCCACAAAGGAACCTCGTTCTTCTGAACATCAACGTTATTACCGTCAAGCTGCACGCTCACTTCCATCTGTTATTTGAAACAGTCGATTAGCAGATTAAGATCAGTGAACAGAGAGGCTTAATTTTGAAAAATAAAGTTATATTGCTAACTTTTATTTTTTCCGGTGCCTGTGAAGAGTCAAATTTCTGCTTTCGCATACGTTTCCGAGGAGTATCTGGTTCAGAGTTACGTTGTGGACTGTTCCCAACCTTTAACATTCCAATTACTTCAATAAACAGATTTCTCTTTATACAAATAAGACTAGAAACTATTCGTAAATTAATAATACTAAAAGAAAATCTATAAAAGAAATGCAGTTCTGAAAAACAATAAAATCATCTTCAAACAGTTCATTCTAAGATTGTCACTATACTTTTTCCTGTAATATAAAAGCAAGAAACGCAGGATTTAGCTGCAGAATTAGAGAAACACTTAAGTGTGACCGTTACACAAGGAAAAATGCAGTAGCACACTTCTCTGGTTGAAGAAGAAACTAAACAAAGAGAAATATTAATCTTGTATTGCATTGATAAGTAATAATTTACTTTCTCAAGAGCATTTTTCGGTAAGTTCAAACTCCCAAAAGGACTTTGTTGCGCATTCCTAACATTAGGGTCGTTTATTGATAACACTCTGGAAAGAGTATCCAGCGTAGAAACTAAACCAGAAGGTCTGCTTCCGTCATACATCATGTACTTGGGTAGAGGACTACAAAAACAACTACAATTATCATGTCAA